GGGGCTAGGTGCTCAGGACTGGGTGGTCCTGGGGTGGGGCTGGGTGCTCAGGACTGGGTGGTCCTGGGGTGGGGCTGGGTGCTTAGGGCTGGGTGATCCTGGGGTGAGACTGGGTGCTCAGAGCTGGGTGGTCTCAGGTGGGGCTGGGTGCTCAGGGCTGGGTGGTCCTGGGGTGAGGCTGGGTGCTCAGAGCTGGGTGGTCTCAGGTGGGGCTGGGTGCTCAGGGCTGGGTGGTCCTGGGGTGAGGCTGGGTGCTCAGGGCTGGGTGGTCCTGGGGTGGGGCTGGGTGGTCTCAGGTGGGGCTGGGTGGTCCTGGGGTGGGGCTGGGTGCTCAGGGCTGGGTGGTCTCAGGTGGGGCTGGGTGGTCCTGGGGTGAGGCTGGGTGCTCAGGGCTGGGTGGTCCTGGGGTGAGGCTGGGTGCTCAGGGCTGGGTGGTCTCAGGTGGGGCTGGGTGCTCAGGGCTGGGTGGTCTCCAGGGCTACCTCTCCTTCTCATTCTCGCTCCCCAGGCGCCGCAGGTGTCCGATCGCCTTGTCCACACTGATGATGTGATGCCGGGCCTTTGCACACAGGCTGGAAAACCGGCCCTTGATTTTCCCAATGGAAACTGAGAGCAGAAACAAAGGACAGCAGAGGACATGGGCCTCTGTTCCTGGGAGACACTGGTGACGGCAGCAGGCAGAGGCCCTGCGGGGCTGCGTGGGCTCCTGGGCGCCCAGCGGATCCAGGCGGGCACCCGCTGCCTGTCTTTGGACGGTGGTCGGGATGAGCTGGTGGGAGGTGTGCCCCGATCCGAAGCCAGCATGCCCTGGCTCCCCTCCACTGCACAGAGCAGTCCCGCCTCTCCCCATCAGAAGTGCCAGGCTCTGACCTGTCTCTTGCTGCCCCCTGGCAATGCCCAACACCCGTTCCAGACACGGCAGTCTTATCTGCTTGATGCAGGAGTTCTGAACCCACTGCAGTTTTTTCTAGATAAAGAACATGCTCTCAGAGCTCACCATTTCACCACGGGCCAGCTGCCTGGGGGCCCTGCTGTGGACAGAGGGCCTGGGCTGGCCTCGCACCCTCCCCCACAGCCTCAGGCAGCCGTGTCCCCTGCTGACCAGCTCAGATGTCCGGTCTGGGAGCCCCACGCCTACTGGGCTCCGGCACCATAAGGTGCTGGTCCTCAAGGCATTGGCACCATCACCATTAGCAGCATCCACAGAGCGCCGGAGGCACAGGCCCACCTCTGACTAAAATAAAGCAAAACAGGCGCCCCCGTGGTGTCGACAGACATCTACAGCTGCTCTGCAGTGCATCCTCTGGCACCGTGGGATGTGAGGACCAGGAGAGGCGGCACAGCCCAACAGGCCCAGCCCTCCCGGGCTGCCACCACAGCATCAGCCTTCCCGGTGCACGGAGGGACCTCCCCAGCTTGCCCTCACCCAGATCTGTGACGTGGACTGCAGCCTCTGATTCCCACTGTCAGCATCTGAGTCAGACGCGGGCTAGAGGAGATGACACCCCTGCCTAGTGCAGGCCACCCGCTGCTCTACCACCACTGTCTTGTCCTGGACAGCAGGCTCCAAGGCCACAGTCAAGGGTTAGTGTGGCCCTGGATTGCACGCCGGGATTCCTTTAGAATCTCTCTGTGGAAAAAAGTATATGGCCCGGGTGAGTGGGTGTGCAATGGTCTGGGGGAGTGGGTGTGCAATGGTCTGCGGGAGTGGGTGTGCGATGGTCTGGAGGAGTGGGTGTGTGATGGCCTGGGGGAGTGGGTGTGCAATGGTCTGGGGGAGTGCGTGTGCGATGGTCTGGGGGAGTGGGTATGTGATGATCTGGGTGAGTGGGTATGCAATGGTCTAGAGGAGTGGGTGTGCAATGGTCTGCGGGATTGGGTGTGCGATGGTCTGGAGGAGTGCGTGTGTGATGGTCTGGGGGAGTGCATGTGCGATGATCTGGGGGAGTGAGTGTGCGATGGTCTGGGGGAGTGGGTGTGCGATGGTCTGGGGGAGTGGGTGTG